ACTAACCAAACACACATAGAGAATATCCGAATTAACAAAATCAGAAATGAAAAAGGGGACATAACAACAGATGGGGAGGAAATACTGAGAATCATCAGGTCATATTTCGAAAACCTGTATCCACAAAATTGGAGAACTTAAAGAAAATGGACAACTTTCTGGATAATATCACTTACCAAAATTAAATCAAGACCAGATAAGCAAATTAAACAGACCTATAACTGCTGAAGAAATAGAAATAGTCATCAAATAGCCGGGCGGTGGTGGCGCACGCCTTTAATCCCAGCACTCGGGAGGCAGAGGCAGGCGGATCTCTGTGAGTTCGAGGCCAGCCTGGTCTACAAGAGCTAGTTCCAGGATAGGAACCAAAAAGCTACAGAGAAACCCTGTCTCGAAAATCCAAAAAAAAAAAAAAAAAAAAAGAAATAGTCATCAAAAGTCTCCCAACCAAAAAAGCCCAGGACCAGATGGTTTCAGCTCAGAATTCTACAATATTTTCAAAGAAGAACTAATACCAATAGTCCTCAAATTGTTCGATACAATAGAAACAGAAAGACCTTTGACAATTTCTTTTTAAGAGGCCACAATTACCCTGATACCCGACCACTAAGAAAGAGAACTACAGACCAATCTCACCTATGAACATTGATCCAAAAATACTAAATAAAATACTGGCAAATCAAATCCAAGAACACATCAGAAACGTCATTCATGATCAAGTCAGCTTCATCACAGAGATGCAGGGATGGTTCAACATACAAAAACCTGTCAACATAATCCACCATATAAACAAACTAAAAAAATAAAAACCACATGATCATCTCATTAGATGCCCAAAAAACTTTTGACAAAATACAACATCCCTTCATGATAAAGGTCTTGGAAAGAGCAGGGATATAAGAAACATACCTAAACATAATAAAGGCAGTATACAGCAAGCCAACAGTCAACATAAAACTAATTGGAAAGAGACTTCCAGTCATCTCTGTGAAATCAGAAACAAGACAAGGTTGTTGTCCACTCTCTCCATATCTAATATATATATATTTCTTGAGGTCCTAGCTAGAGCAAGAAGACACCAAAAGGAGATCAAGGGGATACAAATTGGAAAAGAAGTCAAACTCTCACTATTAGCTGATGGTATGATAGTTTACATAAGCAACCCTAAAAATTCTACCAAGAAACTTCTACAACTCATAAATACCTTCAGTAATGTAGCAGGATACAAGATTAAGTAAAAAAAAAATCAGTAGCCCTCCTGTACACGGATGATAAATGGGCTGAGAAAGAAATCAGAGAAATATCACCCTGAACAATAGCCACAAATAGCATAAAATATCTTGGAATAACTCTAACCAAACAAGTGGAAGCCTTGTATGACAAGATCTTTAAATCTTTAAAGAAAGAAACTGAAGAAGACATCAGAAAGTGGAAAGGTCTCCCATGCTCTTGGGTAAGTAGAATTAACATAGTAAAAAATGGCAATCTTACTAAAAGCAATCTACAGATTCAATGCAATCCCCATCAAAATCCCAGCAAAATTCTTCACAGACCTCGAAAAAACAGTACTCAACTTCATATGGAAAAGCAAAAAACCCAGGATAGCCAAAACAATCCTGTGCCTGGAGGCACCACAGTCCCTGACTTCAAACTCTACTACAGGCTACAGTATTGAAAACAACCTGATATTGGCATAAGAACAGACAGGAGGACCAATGGAACAGAATTGAAGACCTGGATATTAATCCACACACTTCAAACACCTCATTTTGACAAAGAAGCAAAAAAAATATCAAATGGAAAAAAGAAAGCATATTTAACAAATGGTGCTGGCATAATTGGATATCAACATGTAGAAGAATGAAAATATATCCATATCTATCACCATGCACAAAACTTAAGTCCAAATTTTGGATCAAAGACCTCAACATAAAGCCAACCACACTGAACCTTATAGAAGAGAAAATGGGAAGTACACTTGAATGAATTGGCACAGGGAAACGCTTCTAAATAGAACCCCAGCAGCACAGACATAAGAGAAACAATTAATAAATGGGACCTCCTGAAACTGAAAAGCTTCTGTAAAGCAAAGGACATGGTCAACAAGACCAAATGACAGCCTACAAAATGGGAAAAGAACTTCACCAACCCCACATCAGAGAGAGGTCTGATCTCCAAAATATTCAAAGAACTCAAGAAATTGGTCATCAAAAGAACAAATTATCCAATAAAAAAATGTTGTAAAGAACTAAACAGAGGACTCTCTACAGAGGAATCTAAAATGGCTGAAAGACACTTAAGGAAATGTTCAACATCCTTAATCATCAGAGAAATGCAAATCAAAGCAACTCTGAGATTCCATCTTACACCTGTAAGAATGGCCAAAATCAAAAACACTTATGACAACTTATGCTTGAGAGGTTGTGTGGAAAAGGGAACACTTCTGCAATGGACTTGAGTTTTGTGCATGGTGATAGATATGGATATATTTTCATTCTTCTACATGTTGATATCCAATTATGCCAGCACCATTTGTTAAATATGCTTTCCTTTTTCCATTTGATATATATATTTTTTTGCTTCTTTGTCAAAATGAGGTGTTTGAAGTGTGTGGATTAATATCCAGGTCTTCAGAATGCAAGCTGGTACAACTCCTTTGGATATCAGTGTGGCGATTTCTCAGAAAATTAGGAAACAACCTTCCTCAAAATCCAGACATACCACTTTTTGGTATATAGCCAAAGGATGCTTAATCGTGCCACAAGGACATGTGCTCAACTATGTTCATAGCAGCATTGTTTGTCATAGCCAGAACCTGGAAACAATCTAAGTGCCCCTTGAATGAAGGATGGATAAGGAAAATGTGGTACATTTACACAATGGAGTACTACACAGCAGAAAAAATAATGACATCTTGAATTTTGCAGGCAAATAGATGGAGCTAGAAAACATCCTATTGACTGAGGTAACCCAGACTCAGAAAGTCAATTATGTACTCACTCATAGGTGGTTTTTGAACATAAAGCAAATAAAACCTGCCTACAAATCACAATCCCAAAGAACCTAGACAACAATGAGGATCCTAAAAGAGACATACATAGATCTAATCTACACAGGGAGCAGAAAAAGCCAAGATCTCCTGAGTAAATTGGGAACATGGGGACCTTGGGACAGGGTTGAAGGGGAGGGGAGAGATATGGAGGGGAGCAGAGAAAAATGTAGAGCACAATAAAAATTGATAAAAATATATTTATTTATGGACAATAAAAGTCCATAAAAGGATATATTCATGAATTACACATCTAATTTAAAATTTGTAAAGGCTCGGTAAGGACATAAAAAGCAATATAATGGGAGAAAGGATTTACACAGTGTACCTGACAGTTTATAGGTAAAAAGATCTCTTGAAATTCAACATTTATTTAAAAACTAGAAAATTGGTGAGACAAATGAACAGATACTTAAGAGGATACATGGATGGCAAATAAACCTGAAAATATGCAGAACATTATTGGCCATTAGGGAAATGGAAAGAAACTAAACTACAATCTTAACAGCATACCCATGACAGCTAAAGGACTGGTAACCAACAAATACTGGCGAGACGGTGGAAAAACGGGTTCATACAGACAGCAGTGCTGGCAGTGTAAAATGGCTCAGCTCGGAGAGAAAGGTACGGCGGTTTTCCATTGGTTTGTTTAGTTTTTAACATGAAGCACATGCTTCATGACACAGCAACTGCATCGTGGGCATCTATCTTCCTTCAAAGTGAGAATGTTCACACAAAACCTGAACATAAGTTTTCATGGCATTTTTTAAATATCAAAAGTTTGGAAGCTTAAAGTCCCACTGGTGCATGTTTAATTTTGTAGATTATTGAATTCCAAACAATAACGAGGAACAAAGTATTTACATGTATTAATGGATCTCAAAGGAATTATGTACAGTGCAAGAGTATGTGGAAAGGCCAGGCACTGTAGGGTTCAATTATATGAATCCGTAGGACAAATCTGCACTGAGGGACCACACCTCAGTAGTTGTAAATGGTGGAAGGTGTGGTTGTTAAAACGGAGGAGTGAAATTGTTTTGATTGTTGTATGAGTTAAAATTCTCAGAATGAAACAAAAAGTGTTTTTGTGTATGTAAACAAGGGATGAAACTTATTCAGTAATAAGCTGTTCGGTTACACATTTAAAAATCACTCCAGAGCCGGGCGGTGGTGGCGCACGCCTTTAATCCCAGCACTCGGGAGGCAGAGGCAGGCGGATCTCTGTGAGTTCGAGACCAGCCTGGTCTACAAGAGCTAGTTCCAGGATAGGCTCCAAAACCACAGAGAAACCCTGTCTCGAAAAACCAAAAAAAAAAAAAAAAAAAAAAAAAAAAAAATCACTCCAGACAGCTAAAATGGCTTTCAGAAGCTCTGCCATGGAAAGCAGCTTTCTTCCGCTCTCTTCAGGCGTCTAGGACCAACTTCTGTTGTCGCTCAATGTAGCGATTAGCAAGGATTTGACAAAAATTCAGTTTGCTTTCTGGAACTTTTCACCCAAACAGTACCTTCGCGCCAGTCTCTCCGTGCGTGAATCCCTGCCTCTTACAGTGGGGTTTTAGCTCTGTCTGCCCATACTAGATCTGTGCACTTGTCTCTTGACTGTTCAGCATCTCGAGTCTCCAATTTGTGCTTGGGCTCCCATTTTTGTCTTTGGTCTCCTTATCTCAGTTTCTCCGTGTCTCATCTCTGGATCAGAATTCTAGACTCGTCTCCAGTGTGTTTGGGTCTTGTAGTGTCTGCGTGTTTGTTTCTTAAACCGGTATTTTCCGGTCTTTGTCTCAGCCTCTCAGGTTCTGGTGGTCCTAGGCTCTCTCTCGCTCTCTTTTTTTGTTTTAGGTTTCGGTTTGTTTACTCCGTTGTCATGGCAATGGCATCAGAAGTGACGCAGGCGCACGTGGCAGCGAAGCTGAGCCAGCCTTCCCTCGGATTGACTGGCAAGGCTGTCAGAGCAGCTTCTCCCCGCCCAGGTCTGGCGAACGGCCCCGCAGCACGCTGGGGGTCTCGGTTTCCGGCGCTGCAGGCCGCGCACGCGTACTGCAGTGGGTCGCCATCGCCTCTCGGTGTTCGAGACTGCGGGAGCCCGCGGGGCAACGCTGCGCAGCAGGTGGGTCGGTCCGCCCGACGCTCTCCTACGCGGGGCTGTAGGCATTCAGCTGGTGTGGAGGGTCGGGCGCAGAGATGGTTCTGCCTTGCGTGGGCTGGGCCAGGAGCAGAGACCTTGTGGCCCAAAGGTGTTGTGCCCTGGAGGGGTTTGAAGCGCCAAGGCCCTTGCGTGGGGGTGTGACCTCGGGCTGTTGTGCTTGAATTTGTGGCCAGGAGGGTAGGACCGCTGGTTCGCCCGTCCGGAGCTGTGAAGGCCTTAAGGCTTTTGGGCGGGGGTGTGGCACAGGAACGCGGTAGGCGCCACAGCGCACAGCACACAGCGAGTGGGACCGGCTTCTTGTGTGGCGTAGGATGGGGCAGGATCGGGGTTGTGGTTCTGATGTGGCATTGGGAGTACCACTTGTGGGATTGTGGCTCGGAAATGCGGTATGCTTGTGGTGTGTCGGGAAGAGCTATCTGGGGGACACGTGGGATGGGCTAGGATCTTGGGGTGTGTTTTTTACGTGTGCGGCCGACAGAGGGCGCAGCGCCACTGTTCTTAGATATAGATTAGGGGACTGCAGCAGAGGAAGAGGAGGGCATTAGGAGAGAGTGGGTGGAGGTAGGTTCTGGCGGGGCTGGGAAGCCCACAAAGGGGGAAGATGAGTATGTATAAAGATCAGGGGAGGGGTTGGGAACCCCCATTTTTGTGCATCTGGCGCGAGGAGCATGGGAAAGTGGGGGAGGGTTCTGTGAGAGAGTCAATGACTTGAGGGATGACAAGGGGCTTAGAGTGCGGGCATCTTCTCTGTTATGGGGGCAGAAGACATTTTCGGGCCTCTGTCCAGGGACCCCATTCATGGCAGAGGGCTGTCTCTTAGGTGCTGTCCTGACCTGGAGGCTTTGGGAAGGAATAGAAAACATTAGTTTTCCTAGTGCTACCTAAGAAGGGGCAGGGCAAGGGTGCTTGAGGGTTGGCTCATATACAGAACAATTCCAAGGTCACAGAAGTCCTTCCTACCCTGTGTCAAGAGTTTACTTGTTCGTGTTTTGTCCCCGTTTCTTTGCCTCTTCCTTCTTACTCCACCACTGCTTCCATGCCCAGTCCTCCACCCTCAGACCTGTCTCCCTTACGTTGGTTTGTATCTCAACCAGCTTTTTGGAAGCCACAATGGATGTTACCAGATCATCCTTCCACATTCTAGTAATGTCCTGTGGAAGTTCTCTTTCTTGTTCTGGAGCCCTTGTTTCTCCTGATGTTTAGGTCTGTGAGTTTTTTTTTTTTTTTTTTTTTTTTTAAAGCAGGCTGGTTTGTTTAGGGCATTTGTTTGACTCTGTGATCTTATATGAAAATATAAATATATTTTATATTTATAATATATAAATAGAATATATTTTTGGCAGGGGCCACAGAAAGCAACTATTTTAATATGATCCTTTGTGTGTATCTTGGCATTCGTTTAAAGGTACGTTTACACCTTTTGTATTTATATTAGTATGTATATGACTACAGGGGAGACCTTGTGACTAGTTCCTGCTGTCCCCAGTAAGATTAGTGTTCATGATTATCATCAGATCCTAGTGGTTAGAAAAGATCGTATTTTGTTGACAGGGTCTGAGAAGGATTTGTTTTCAGCTAAGGCAAAAGCCTGCAATGTGAATTCTTTAGGTGTTTAAAACCAGCCTTGGGATTCCCCTAGCTCAGCCATCCACCCATTCACTAGATTTCTTTTCTCAGCTTTAACATTTCATGCCCAGAATACAACCCTTGATACCTGCTTGACCCATTCTTCTGTCTCCTGAAGCCTGTGGGCTGGACTCCAGGACCCCAAGGCAGCCAGGTCATTCTGCATCAGGTATGCCACAATCTGTCTTATTTGTACCAGGAATGTGACCTCATTCACATTTGGTCCCACTGGGTCTTCTGCCTAGTAAGTTCTTGTAGCAGTGTAACCAGGTCTAGGGTCAGGCAAGGCATGCTTAGGATTAAGTCTCTTGAGATTCCCCAAGATGGCCTCATCCTCCTGGTCCTGACTAGTAGAGCTACATTATGAAGGGGGCTGGCTGTCCATGTTAGGCTGTTGCTTCTTTTTTTAAAAATATTTATTTATTTATTATGTATACAATATTCTGTCTGTGTGTATGCCTGCAGACCAGAAGAGGGCACCAGACTCCATTACAGATGGTTGTGAGCCACCATGTGGTTGCTGGGAATCGAACTCAGGACCTCTAGGAAGAGAGACAATGCTCTTAACTCCAGCCCCAGGCTGTTGCTTCTTGTTGTCATAAGAGTCTTCTTTTCAGGCAAAGGAAATGGGGACAGATGATTCTTGCTTATTCCCAGGTAAACAAGGTCCACCACTGATTAGGCTATATAGGCTTACTGTGCTTCTACTTGTTCCTTTCTGTTGCAGGTCCCCATACCTCTTCCGTGGTCGCAGCAGGACAGGTGGAGGAGGAGACAGGTCTCACGCAGTTGACTGAGGGCTGCTGGGCCACCCTAAAAGAAGCAGAGGTAATGGTTATGTGGTGACCACAGTGGTGAAGCAGATGTGGGGAGGACCAATCAGAGGCTCCAGGCAGGGAGGACTTCATGAGGAATCTGGAACAAGAAGGATAGATCAGCTATGTTAATTTTCAGGTAGAGTCCTGAGCCCAGTTCTCACCTAGTGTGTGAACGGTTTTCTTGTCTACTGTTTGGGTTTGCTCTTTGTCTCTACCCTTAGAAGCTTAGAAGCTTCTGACAATCTGAGGATGAGTTTCCAGCAGGGCCTGGTAGGGTGAACCTTTGTGTATGCACATCTTAGTAAGTTCACAGTAACTCTGTGGACACTTTTTGTGTAGGATAAATGTTCCTGATGTGGTGTAAAGAAAGCAAATTTATATGACCACATAACTCTTCATTTGCCACATAGAGTTCTGTGTTCAGAGCCTGGTGAAACAAAATGTGGATATGTTGTCTTACTGGAGCTGACATTACACCCCATATCAAAAGATGCTCCAGGAGAATCAAAGGAGAAGATGGGTAAAGAAGAGTCTAGAGTGGAAGATGGCAGATCAACTTGGAGGCCAGCTGAAAGGAAGCTGTGTAGAAAGATGTCAGGGTGTGTGTAGGGCTCTGGCTGCCTTGCTATACAGGACAGAGGTAAGTAGTCACCATCGAGAAAACCTCAAGAGCTTAGACTGTTATCCAAGGCCTTACATTTGAGACCCTTGCTGTAAGAGAATGAGTGAGAATGTTTTTAAGTTTGAGGTAGGGAAGGAAACCCAAAGATAAGCAGGTTTTGGAAACTGGAATGTTTTTTAAGGTAGTTGAATTTGATAAGAATCATTAGACAGTAAGTGGTTAAAACACAGGTTTTAAAAAGGCAGGATGAAATGACAAGAAAATCAGATAGGGATGAATGATGGCAAGATGGAGCCAGGCAGAGCTCGTACCTGACTCCTATAAAGAAAGCAGGCAGTTTACTCACCCTCAGAGATAAAGAAGTCATAAGAAAATGCTAAGTTGTATTGGGTGGGAGTTGTGGTCTGAGTATTCTCAGTGTAGATAGATGCTGGGGCAAAAAGGAATGGGTGCTGCCATTGTAGATGGTAGGGGTGAGGACGTCCCTGTAGCTGAGGTATTCTTTTTCTCCACTTATTCTTCAAATAGGTCCCAAACTTGATCCTGGAGAGATGGGTATGATATTCCATATTGGCCATTAGGCATATATAACATGCCCTTCAACAAAGAAATTCATTTTATAAAAGGTATACTGGGCAAAAACAGAAGTCAAGATACCTTTAGAGAATATATACTGGTTTAGTTTAACAGTCTGTACAATGAAATGTCTCTTTGTACTTAGTTCATTCACAGTCAAAAAATTCAAAGAAAACACAATAGTATACATAATCCAGACTCTGTGTATTTTCCATCTTTACATGGCTTATTTTTCTTACTCTATTACTTTTCTACAAGTTTATTTTGTCTGTTTAAAGACCTTGTTTTATCTTTTTTAAAAACAATTTACTTCTTTCATTACTCTCTATTCTTTTCTTCTTTCTCCCAAGCCTATATTTATCCAATACTGTGACCCATTAGGGGTCTTTTCCATCTGGATTTGTCTTTATTGCATATCTGTAATTATTTTCTGACCAGTCACACTTTTTTTTTTGTTATTTTATTGATACTTATTGAGCTCTACATTTTTCTCTGCTCCTGTTCCTGCCTCTCCCCTTCCCCCTTCGATCCTCCCCCAAGGTCCCCAAGCTCTCAATTTACTCAGGAGATCTTGTCTTTTTCTACTTTCTATTTCCCATGTAGATTAGATCTATGTAAGTCTCTCTTAATGTCCTCATTGTTGTCTAGGTTCTCTGGGATTGTGGTTTATAGGCTGGCTTTTTTTGCTTTATGTTTAAAAGCCACCTATGAGTGAGTACATGTGATAGTTGTCTTTCTGTGTCTGGGTTACCTCACTCAAAATGATGTTTTCTAGCTCCATCCATTTTTCAAAAAATTCAAGCTGTCATTATTTTTTTCTGCTGTGTAGTATTCCACTGTGTAAATGTACCACATTTTTCTTATTCATTCTTCATTCGAGGGGCATTTAGGTTGTTTTCAGGTTCTGGCTATATGACAAACAACTTATGCTCTCCAGCATAAGTTGTCATCAGTGTTTTTGATCTTGTTCATTCTTACAAGTGTAAGATGGAATCTCAGAGTTTTGATTTGCATTTCTGTGATGACTAAGGATGTTGAACATTTCCTTAAGTGTCTTTCAGCCATTTTAGATTCCTCTGTTGAGAGTTCTCTGTTTAGGTCTGTACTCCATTTTTTTTTTTTTTAAAAAATTGCATTATGTGATCTTTTGGTGTCCAATTTCTTGAATTCTTTGAATATTTTGGAGATCAGACCTCTCTCTGATGTGGGGTTAGTGAAGATCTTTTCCCATTCTGTAGGCTGTCATTTGGTCTTGTTGACCATGTCCTTTGCTTTACAGAAGCTTTTCAGTTTCAGGAGGTCCCATTTATTAATTGTTTCTCTTAGTGTCTGTGCTGCTGGGGTTCTATTTAGAAGCGTTTCCCTGTGCCAATGCATTCAAGTGTACTTCCCATTTTCTCTTCTATAAGGTTCAGTGTGGTTGGCTTTATGTTGAGGTCTTTGATCCAAAATTTGGACTTAAGTTTTGTGCATGGTGATAGATATGGGTCTGTTTTCATTTTTCTACATGTTGATATCCAGTTATGCCAGCACCACTTGTTAAATATGCTTTCTTTTTTCCATTTGATATTTTTTGCTTCTTTATCAAAGATCAGGTGTTCGAAGATGTGTGGATTGATATCTGGGTCTTCTATTCAGTTCCATTGGTCCTCCTGTCTGTTCTTACGGCAATACCAGGCTGTTTTCAGTACTGTATCTCTATAGCAGAGTTTGAAGTCAGGGATTTTGATGCCTCCAGAAGTTCTTTTATTGTACAGGATTGTTTTGGCTATCCTGAGTTTTTTTGATTTTCCATATGAAGTTGAGTACTGTTCTTTCGAGGTCTGTGAAGAATTTTGCTGGGATTTTGATGGGGATTGCATTGAATCTGTCAGAAGCACTTCTTAAAATGCTAAGCATTCTTACTAAGACTAAGGCTGCTTTGCCTTTGGCTCCACCCAGTCCAACATGGCGGGGAGGACGTCTGTTGAGTACAAGCCATGCTCATAGCCCCAGATTTTAGGCACACAGCTGGTCTGTGCTGCCATTAAGCAGTTTGTAACATGCTGTTCAGAAACCCCAATTAAATGCTTGGCCTCCTGAAAGAGCTAGAGTTCACTCTGGCAGCACGGCCCAGGAAGCTGCCTTCTCGAAACCGGGTAGGCTGCTGCTGAATCATAAAGACCTCTCTTAAAGGAATCATGTCTCTGCTTGCTTCTAGCAAGCAGAGCCCACCCAAGAAAATGCTGTTTTAGCCATGTTTAACTTTTGTGTTTAGGATTACTTCCCCAAGCTCTCTCAGGTTTTATGTGGATGCAGTTGTCCATGTTGGCACCATTTTGTTGACAGGTTTCTGTCACGCCTGGCCCACAGCTATTCTGTCCCAACAAAACACTCAGAGGTCTACATTAATCATAAACTGGTTGGCCATTTGCTCAGGCTTCTTATTAACTCTCAAAACTCATATTAGCCAATTATTCTTGTCTGTGTTAGCCATGTGGCTTGCTACCTTTTGTCAGCGAGGCATTCTCATCTTGCTTCCTCCGTGTCTGGATGACAAATGCAATCTGACTCTTTCCTCTTCCCAGAATTCTCCTGTTTTCATCACCCCTCCTATACTTTCTGCCTGACTACTGGCCAATCATTATTTTATTAAAAATCATACAAGTGACAGGGTACAAGACCATTGTCCCACAGCACATATTGGCCATTAGGCATATATAACATGCCCTTCAACAAAGAAATGTATTTTATAAAAAGTGTAGTGAGCAAAAACAGAAGCCAAAACTGCTGGGCCCATAGTAACCTGCCTATAAAGAACCCTATTCTCCTAGGGCTCAGATTTTAATGTGGGAAACAAGTAGTATGCAGATATAAAGCAGTAGGAAATAGTATGCTCAAGATGTGTATGAGAGGACATGCAGGGAGTTTGGACCTTGAGGAACCACTTCAGAGTTCAGTCCTGTAAGAAGTGAAAATGGTACTTCTACGGTAAACTGGATTAGGTAGGGAGATAGTGGTCATGTTGTTGATGGTGTTAGCTAGGGTCATGAACAGATTTTATTTTGAATTCCTCAAAATTGCTTTTAGAAGAGAAAATGCTTTCATTGTGTGGTTTTGCCAAGGATATTGCTAGTACTGGGTTTGGGTTTTACTCTTTTTTTTAGGTTTATGAATGGCAATGTTTTGCCTTCTTGTATGTGGCACATGCATGCCTGGTGCCCTCAGAGGTCATAAGAAGGCATCAGATGCCCTGGACCTATGATTACAGATGGTTGTGATCTACCATGTAGGTGCTGAGAATCCAGTCCGGGTACTCTGTGAGAGCACAAATGCTCTTAACTACTGAGCCATCTCCCCAGCCCTGAGTTTTGGTTGTTTCAGTGGGAACAACATGCACCTAGATCCTTCTTGTTTTGGAGATCTAAAGTCTCAATAATACATACTTAGATGTTAAACTGACATAGTATTTTGGGATAAATCCGGTCTGTTGTGATGTGGCCTACATATACACAGTATACATAGTAAGAATAAATTTACTGATATTGTATGGCATATTCATCTAGGTTTATAAATGAAATTTTCCTGAAAAATTTCATATTCATCTTATTTAAGATTTTTTAAAAAAAATCCTTGGGCTGGAGAGATGGCTTAGGGGTTAAGAGCACTTCCAGAGGTCCTGAGTTCAATTCCCAGCAACCACATGGTGGCTCACAACCATCTGTAATGAGATCTGGTGCCCTCTTCTGGCCTGCAGGCATACATGCAGATAGAATACTGTATACATAATAAATAAATAAATCTTAAAAAAATCCTGTTATTACCATCTTATACAAAGTTGGTCTTCCTGATTCTTTATTTTTATCTATATAAGTAAAAAGCTGGAATTCTACTTACAGTAGTGAGCAGACTGCTTAGAATAACTGCATGAGACTTAGGTATTGTGGGTACATGGTTGTACTCAGACACCATCCCTCATTCTTCTTTGCCTGAGTGTGTCATGGCTGAGGTCTCACTATGTGGACATCTGTTTTGTTGATGTCCTCTGCTTTTCCTCAGGTCCTGGTATTGCTGACCTTTCTTGGGTCCTTGTTATCCTAACCGTCTCTGCTGAGTTCTTGGCTAGACACAGTTGCATTTTTGTGGAGGCCTGGGAAGATGTTGCCTTTGGAGAGGGCACTGGCCTCCCCAAGAAGCTCCCCACCTCACCCAGAACCACCTACTGTGCGGCCAGAAGTTAGATCCCAACAGGAAGTGCCCAGTCAGCAGGAGGAACCCAACCAGGGGGAAGTAGTCATTAAGCAACAAGAACCTAGCCAGCAGGAGGGACCCAGGAGGCAGGATGAACCCATCCAGGAAGAAGAACCCATCCAGGTGCTGGAATCTAGTCAGAGAGATGAGCCCAACCAGGGAGAAGAATCCAGTCAGCAGGATAATCCTCTCAATCAGAGGGAAGAACTCAGTGAACAACAAGAACCCAGCCAGCGGGATGATCCTAGTCAGGAGGAAGAACCTAGCCAGTGGGAAGAACCTGGCCAGAAGGATGTACCTATGCAACAAGAAGAACCTATGCAGCAGGATGAGCCTCACCAGTGGGAAGAACCCATGCAGCAGGAGGAGCCCATGCAGGAGGAGGAGCTCATGCAGCAGGAGGAGCCCATGCAGCAGGACAAAACCATCCAACAAGAGCCAGTTCAGCAGGATAAGTCCACCACACAGGAAGAACTCATCCAGCAGGAGGAACTCATCCAGCAGGAGGAATTTATTCAGCAGGAGGAACCTATCCAACAGGAAGCCTTCATTCAGTACGAAGAACCCATTCAAGATGCTTCCATCCAACAGGAACTCATCCACCAGGAGGAGTCCACTCAGCAGGATAAGTCCATCCAAAAGGAAGAATTTATTCAGCTAGAGAAGCCCATCCAGCAGGTAGGGTTCAGCAAACAGGAGGAACCCAGCCAACAGAAAGAGCCTAGCCAGAAGGATCAACCCAACCAACAGGGAGAACCCAGCCAGCAGGAAGAACCCAGCCAGCAGGAAGAACCCAGCCAAGAGGAAGAACCCAGCCAACAGGAAGAACCCAGCCAAAAGGAAGAGTCCAGCCAAGAGGAAGAACCCAGCCAACAGGAAGAACCCAGCCAGCAGGAAGAACCCAGCCAGCAGGAAGAACCCAGCCAGCAGGAAGAACCCAGCCAGCAGGAAGAACCCAGCCAACAGGAAGAACCTAACCAGCCGGAAGAACCCAGCCAACAGGAAGAACCCAGCCAACAAGAAGAACCCAGCCAACAGGAAGAACCCAGCCAACAGAAAGAACTCAGCCAACAGGAAGAACTTAACCAGCCGGAAGAACCCAGCCAACAGGAAGAAACTAACCAGCTGGAAGAACCCAGGCAACAGAAAGAACCTAACCAGCTGGAAGAACCCAGGCAACAGAAAGAACCTAACCAGCTGGAAGAACCCAGGCAACAGAAAGAACCTAACCAGCCAGAAGAATCCAGGCAACAGGAAGAACCTAACCAGCTGGAAGAACCCAGGCAACAGAAAGAACCTAACCAGCCGGAAGAATCCAGGCAACAGGAAGAACCTAACCAGCTGGAAGAACCCAGGCAACAGGAAGAACTCAGCCAACAGGAAGAACCTAACCAGCCGGAAGAACCCAGGCAACAGGAAGAGCCTAGTCAAAAGGATCAACCTAACCAACAGGAGGAATCCAGCCAACAGGAAAAGCCTACCCAGCAGAAGGAAACAGAAACCAGCACTGAAAGATCTGCTGCTGACCTGGAGTTTTCCCGCCTACGCTTTCGGGAGTTTGTCTACCAGGAGGCAGCTGGACCTCACCAGACTCTGGCCCAGCTTCATGAGCTATGCCGCCAGTGGCTGCGGCCCGAGGCCTGCTCCAAAGAGCAGATCGTGGAGCTGCTGGTTCTGGAGCAGTTTCTGGGCATCTTGCCAGACAGGGTTCGTCCCTGGGTGGTAGCCCAGTATCCTGAGAACTGCGAGAAGGCTGCCTCCCTGGTGGAGGGTCTCTCTGACATCCTGGAGGAGCCAGGTGAGGCTGCCACCCCAGAAGAAAGCATGCCTTAGAGGAGACGGGCAGGAGGTCCTGGAAGGACTGGAATCTGCAACATAGAGTTCAGACCCCAGCCGTGGCATTCCTGAGAGTGTAGTCACCCCATGTGTTAAGGGGCACAGAAACAACCATCCCTGAGCTGGTAAGGGAGCTCCTCAGTCTCCAGGGATCCAAGCCCCCACATCTCTGCCCAGTGGCATCTCCATCAGGCTTACCTCATGGACTAGGACAGCTGCCTTGGGTTTCTGCCCTCACATTTGCTTTCCAGATGTTAGGAAGGAGGCGGAATGGAGGGCAATCAAAGGCAGGTACCAGGCTCTTAAAAACTAGGTAAATATTCTGGGTGCATTGCTAGCTGGGGGTTTCCTCCATGTCTAAGGGTGGGGCCTGAGAGATGGGTGGTGATGGTGTCTGGGAGCCTAGGGGCTTGGGTCATACCTTGGGTCCATACCTGGCCCATTGAGGATTTGCTGTGTGGTTGTTAGCATGTGTCTCAACCTATTGGAGTCACTATTGCCTTGATTGTACACAGGAATGATGTTGTGTTCCCCAGGTGGGCCATCATCTTCATTCAGCGAGGGAGACTATAAGAGGTGTCCTGAGTCCCTGCTGCTACCACGTGGGTTGTTGGGTCCCAGCAGAGACCTAAGACCTAGGGACATCCTTGTACGCCGTGATACGTGTAAGTAGCAGCATTTCTCTAGCCTCACCTGGCTTTCATTAAGGAGATAGATGGAGGTCTGTGGTTGGGAAAGGGAGGATGTGGTGAGGCGCCATGAAAACCAGGGAGAGGTCAGGTAGCAAGGCATGGATGTGTACTGTAGTTGGGACTTGTTTCTGTAGGTCATTGTGTATGTTAGATGTGTTATTTTTTATTTTTTGCTCAACTTGTCATGCAAATTTTGTCAGCCTTACATGGTTATTAACCAAGAAATAATTTCATTGTAGTTATATTTCAATGCCCATTAGCAGCATAAGGTTCTGGGTTAAAACCTCAGTACTGCCAAAAAAGTTTTCTTTGTCCTTACCCCATCCTGGAGGATGTCCTTTCATGTCTTTCTCCATATACACATGTATACCGAAGGTCTATAGGACCATGGTGTACTTGCGCCCTCACATTTTTGTTTTTATTGAGCTATATATTTTTCTCCACTTCTCTCTCTTCCTGCCCCCTCTACTTCTACCCTCTCCCATGATCCCTGCGCTCCCAGTTTACTCAGGAGATCTTGTCTTTTTCTACTTCCTATATTGATTAGTTGTGCCCTCATATTTGTTACTCAAATAGGGCAGCTGTGGTCAAAGTTTTGGCTCCTCACCTCTCGGCATTCCACATACTCAGCCTCTCCATTTTGCTTTTCAGAAATGGGCTGCAACATCATGCCTTACTGTAGGCACTCTAGTGTGCGTGGTATGGTTTTCTAACAACCTCTGGATGGAGGGCATATACACTTTAACCATGCAGTTATCCATAACCTTTGTGATACATTTAAAGCCAGCATAGTTGCCCTGGGTGTCTAACATTTTCTACCAATCTAGTTGGAACAAAAAGGTTCTTCCTTCATGAACTGAATTGCTTCAGTGGTGGCCTCAAACTTAGAGATCTTCCTGCCTCTGCCTCCCGAGTACTAGAATTAAAGGCATGCACCGCCATCTGACTGTCTTCATGTTTCTTTATTTTTGTGTCCATGTTGCTCTGTCAGTCGCAGACAAATGTAGTGTTCACTGAGCTTTGGGACCTGTGATATGTACAGGAGGAAGCCTTTCTACATTTGTCCCAGGGCCTGTGTGGGAGGCAGTGGGATATGTTTATTTTGGAGACACAGCCACTGAGAACTTGTCTCCTTAGCTCCTCTTCTTCCAGCCTGGCCTACTCTGGAATCTGTACATCTGGATGAAAAACATTTAGAGGGAGAAAAGAATGAAGAGGCCAACTCTGTCACAGCTGAGCCAAAGGTGAGGAAAGGAGCCACTGCTGCCCTGGGAGGCTGACCTTGTCCAGCCACACACATTGACTGACTGTTGACTGACTTCTCTCAATATTAATGCTCTGTCATAGCAAAGGATTATGGACCCAAACATCTATAATGCTACTGCTAAGAAAGCTGTCCTTGTGGAAACTCAAGGATAGAACCTAAGGAAGGGCATTGCTTCAGTATAACGTGGGGTGGGTCAGAGCTGCTGTTTTAGAAAATGTTACCATTTCCACAGGAGTCTCTACAGTCAGAATGGGACAACCTGGACCCCACAGAAGATAACCTGACCAGTTACAGCAAGCTGCTCCTGTTGGGTGAGACCTGCCTCCCACTGGCTCACGTTCTGTCCTGCATCCTCTTCTAGAAGTGTTGGCATGGAAGATTCTGACCGTCCCAGGAACTGTAGTTGAATCACCAAGGGTGATTTAAATGTTTGGAGCTGAACATGTTTTAAGTGTCTTTGAACTAGGATCTGTTTGCCAAGTTCTCCACTTGTCCTTGTCTACACTTTTAAGTTCTCTCTGGGCTCTAGGGCTTTGTTTGCAGCCTTGGCCTGTGAGAACTCGGAAAGGCCTCCTGACTCCAATCCTCTAAGCACTCCCACTTTGTTGATGCAGAGCAGGGCCTGGGAATGATCTTTCACTGAAGCTCTTTGCAGGGAAGCTCGTATCTAGACTCCGGAGGTCTTTATTATAGTTCTAATTCTGTATTTTTTTTTTTTTTTTTTTGGTTTTTCGAGACAGGGTTTCTCTGTGGCTTTGGAGCCTATCCTGGAACTAGCTCTGTAGACCAGGCTGGTCTCGAACTCACAGAGATCCGCCTGCCTCTGCCTCCCGAGTGCTGGGATTAAAGGCGTGCGCCACCATCGCCCGGCCTGTATTTTAGTTTTTTTGTACTGGGGATTGACCCAAGATCTCACAAATGGCATGTACTCTGCTCCCAAGTCCATTTTATGCTATGTCTTCAGCTGTGCTCCATTTCCTACCTGCTCACAGGCAGCCTCCAGCCTCCTCTAAGATCCTCCTCTTTGCCTCTGCTGCCTTTGTTAGAAACCTCTGACTAGAGGGCAGCTTTGATGGTGGTGGAGGGGGACAGGACGGGACAGGGGAATGGACAGGAATTGTCCTAATGCAGAGAAAAAGGTAGTTGCAGTCTGGGTCCCAGAGACCCAATAGGACATGAAGCCTCTTAGCTTTCTCATGATTCCTTTACTTCTCTCTAAACCTCAGGGTGTCAGTTTTTCCAGGCTGGTCCATCCTCCACGCTGGAGACAGAACCAGAGGAATGTTGTGTGGCAGAAGAACTACCAGGAGGCAGCCTCCCAGGTGAGGTTGAGTTAGGTGGTGATAGATGTGAGCCTGGTGGGGGTATAGAGGGTACAAGTCTCTTTTACAGCTGATGGGGCTCCTCACATTTCCATTAGCCTCAGCAGATACACTAGCTTTGACTGTCTTCATTTTCCTGTCCATTGTGTGGGGACAGAATGCCATTGCATTATTTCTTGCTGCATAGTGAGCTCCTCTAAAACATGTTACCCAAAAGACTACAGATTTGTGATCTGTCAGCTGGCTGAGCTTAACTTTGTGGCCCCTCTACATTTTTTTGGTGGTTCTGAAGGCACACATAAAGCCACCATCATTTAGAGGCTCGAATCTAGGAATGGTTTCCCATACACTGCCTGGATGACAAAGGCTCTCAGTGGAGCTGAGTTGACACTGTGGACCTGTTCCCCCGCCCATTACCTCTCCAAAGGCCTGGCTTTGGTTTTCTCATAGATACTGCTGGGTTTCATTGGGAGAATCCCAGAGGGTAAGCACGTATCACACCTCTGCATGTTTCGTGTGCATACTACTGTTCCATTGGCCACGGATGACTTCAGGGCCAAGCCAGAGACTTTGGTTCATTGAAGGCCATGGATATAACTGGATGGCTTACCAAGACTCCTTTGGTCCTTACTAGTGACAGACATGTCCCCTGGACTCTCTCATAGTTCTTTGTACCTTCCATTGCCAAGTCACTTCAGCCAGAAAGGCTGCTTCAGATCTGAATCCACCACAGCAGGAAGCAGGCTCCTCCTCACCTTTCAAACTTCTGACCAGAATAGACTAGAGTTACATGACCACCTTAACCTCCAAACACACTGGGTGTGATGGTCAGCAGTGAGCTCTGCAGACATTCAAACTGTTAAAGAAGGGCATGCAGACTGGGAGGGGTCCTGTGAGGCCTGCGATACTGCACTCAGCTGTTGTAAAGGGGTTAGGCTGTGCCTGCTATTGTTCTTATCTGATGCCCTTTGGGCATCACACTTTGTTTTCTTGATTTCTGCTCAAGTTAGTTTCTATCTCAGAGCCTGGGAAGTAGGACTGCTCACATTTTGACTTTATTTCAGACAGTACGGGGCAGCAGGAAAGCAAAGGAAATATGTGTGAGGAAGTCTCCATGGGGGAGACACTGATGGAGAGGCTTTCAGGGGATGTTCCTGTTAGTCCTTCGATAGACACTGCCCAGGAGGAACAGCAACCTCAGAAGGCTCTGGATGCTGAGGATGAGGATTCAAGTCCTGCCAGTCCCCAGAGGCAATCAGTCATCCAGCAGTCAGCCCAGGACAAGGCTACACCACATAAAGGCACTGGGACAAAGAGGCCTCATCCAGATGACGAGGACGAAGAGGACCCTGAGTGTCCGTCCAGCACCAGCAGCTACAAGCTGCCATTTGATGCAGGGAAGGGGCTCCATGTGGGTGGCCGTGATTCTGGGCAGGACCCAGGAACTTCTGCTGTGCGATGCCCTGCAGTTGATGAGTTTCATGCATCCCAAGGGAACCCCTATACATGTAGTGAATGTGGCAAGGCCTTTGCATGGATCTCGAACCTTATAGAGCATCATAAGAGCCACAGCACTGAGACATGCTATGCAAGCCAGGACTGCTAGGACCCCTTCCAGTTCAGCATGGCTGTGGTCAAGCACCAGAAGAGTCACATACAAAAAAAGAAAAGCCACGCTCAGTGCCCATCTCTGCCACAAGCAAAGCCACTGGTGAGAGGATTGACAGCTCCTAGTGTGTGGGTAGTTTTCCCTGTACAACCTGAGGTGTCAGATGAGGAACTCTGCTATGAGTATCCCATGACATGACAGTTGTATGTAGCATGAGTGTTCTTAAGGCGCATGTGTGGTGGTGGCTTCCTGTGGTATCTATGGGCACATCTGTGTTACTTTCTGGATGCTCATGTACTGAAAGCAACTGGAAATGGGTATGGCCCACAGGAAGCCCTCATCTTAGAAACATACTTTGGGCTAATGTCCTATCCTGTAAGCCATCAGATATGAGGGAAAACTCCATTTCTGCAGTGTTTTAATACCACACATACTCTGGTCATTTGACATTGTACAACGTGTTACGTTGCCTTAAAGTATGTGGTGTTTTCTTGAGCATTCCTTGCCTCAGTTGCTTCTCCTTGAGCTCCCTGTCTGTTCACACATCTATTTGGCCTTTTTGTAAATATGTAATGTCAGGTTTACTTCTGAATCCTCAAGAGTAAAAATTGTTCCTGAGTTCAAGTTACATGTATTTTAATATATGGAGTTGCTTGCAAAGATCACAAAAACTTTTTGGATTGTGTGTTTCAGCCCATTAGTGAAATTGTGAAATCCAGTTGGTGGATGGCCACTGGCATTACAATGAAGTAGAATAAAGTAGGTCAGAATGCATCATGCAGCAAAGGCAAGTATTGTTTTGTGAAACTTCTCAGCTGTGTATCTAATATGAGAGCTGGCTACCATGTTAAATGTATTTATTAGGGGTATGATCAAAAGAGGTTTAAAAATACTACAAAGGCTGAAGAAATGATCTGTATCTGAACTAAGAACCAAATGTGGCCTACATAGGTGATCTTGAGGTTTTGCTTTAACTTCAGTTTACAGCATTGTTTCTGTTGCCTTACCATAAATTTAATTGCCATGTAGATACAGAAAGGTGTCTCTGTCAGTGTTTGAGGAGGCAATTTGTGTAACCCCCAAACCAGAGGCTTACCATAATAAAGTATTTATTTCTTCATTCATATTATTGTTCCTTGGTTTTTATTGGGCAGCTGCTTCCTTGGTCCAGACACCTTCCCTGCTGTAGCTTTCTTTCTATTGGGACTTTAGGAACATACGGAAAAGTCTGTGCTCTTTACCTGGGAGAAGACTCAAATCACTTTCACTCACAAATCTTAGAGCAGTGGTTCTCAATCTACGAGTTATGCTCCTTTAGGGGGTCATGTATCAGATATCCTACATATCATATATTTACATTATGATTCATAACAGTAGCAAAATTATAAAGTAGCAACAAAATAATTTTATGGTTGGGATCACCACAACATGAACTGTATTAAAGGGCTGCAGTGTTAGGAGGGTTGAGAATCGCTGCCTTAGAGAAAACTGATCAGATGGCCTCATCACCCATAAGGATCCTGGCACTGCCTATTTAGGTGGTTCCCTCTGCTAAGCTGAGCTAAATTTTCTTCTGGTAAAAAAGTCTCAATGTGTTTTCCTAATTCCATTCTAAGTACATACCAGTCAGCCTGCTTTCTCCTACTGTCACTGAGAGATTTCCCTGGGCTACATTCTAGTACTCCATCTCCAGTTTCTTTTGTGTAAGCAAACCAGTGGGAGGTCTGTGTCTTTCTATTCTAAAGTTGAACTTCCAGGAAAGGCACAAAAGTAAGAGTATAAAAGGATCTCCGTGCACTCCTTACCCAGACCTGCTGTGACTACTACTCTACCCAATGCACCCATGCTTTGCAAGTGAACATACTTCCTCCGTCTTGAGGATGTGCTATGCCCATGTGCGCCTGTTGTGATACCTGATTTGCTCACCTGTTTGGAGTGTTTAAGCAATATGTGAGGAGATACTCTGCGATAAGGTAAGTATTCTACTCTTAATCAAAATTCTAGCCCTGTATTTATCATTGGCAATTGCCTAAATCAAGTCCTTACCATGAAATCTACAAAGTGATTCTCCATGTTTATCAGTTGTTCTCAGCATTCTACAAGCTCTCTCTCTCTCTCTCTCTCTCTCTCTCTCTCTCTTTTAACTTTCTTTGTTACTGGAATGGACCATGGATTTCTGGAGCAGTATATATTTTTAAGCTAGATTTAGGTCCAAGAGCCTATTAAGCCACTTAAACTGATCTTTCCTATGTGTTCTATCTGTAGTCACCCAAAGAAGAAGCAGAGAAAGGATGAGTCATGTAACAAAGGAGATCAGAAGAGCTGAAGAAAGGACAGCTATTGAATTGCTGTGTCTGGTAAGGTGGGTACCCATGTCCAGTTAGCACCTAAATGTAGTCCAATGAACTGACTGCTGGAAGTGATTAGCACATTAGATTCAAAGAGAGTCTATACCTAAGTTTTGTATGTCAGAATGGTAACATGGCGCATAGTGGTAAATATTAACTGCACCTGCTTTTTGTAGTTATGTAGGTTTGGATTTTTTGCTTTTTTTGTGTGTGGTGTTTTTTTTGAGATGGGGTCTCACAGCTCAGACTTTGCAAAGTAATTAGAATGACCTTGAATTTCTGATCCTCCTGTCTTGATCTCCCAAGTACTGGGATTATAGATCACCAACTAGGTTAGTTTTGAAAATTAAATTAAATTTTATATTTTTGGGGCAGTGTCTCTTGCTATAGCCCATGCTGGCCCCGAGTCTGTGATTCTATCTCTGCTTTCACAGTGCTGGGATTATAGATTATCAAATGCCAGCCCTTGAGACAATGTGTGTGTGTGTATGGTAGTTGCATTAGAGCAACTTTTAGGTTAGCATACAGAATAAAGGGCGTTATCACAACATTTTCACTCACATTTATGGCTCAGTTTTGTTTTTTCCTGTTTCAGGGGTGAAATCCTGGGCCTTGTGGTACTTGCTAGGCAAGTACCCATGCACACCATTGAGCTCCATTTCCAACTCTTACAGTTTTTGAGACAGGGTCTCACTATATAACCCAAGATAGCCTTGAACTTGGCAGTACTTTAGTCTCAGCTTCCCTAATGCTGGGATTATGGGTATGTGCCACCACATTCCACATTTAAAACTTCAGTTCCAAAAAAGCATCCCACAGGCATACCAAAGAACAGAGTTGGAAGACTAAAACATGTGGTACCCCAAGAGAAACTGCAGAATAGTTAGGAATATATATTCTAGCACTGTGATTACAAAATAAAATCATCTGATATAAACATTATTGATGGTTGAGGACCAAAACCAGCCGATATCCTTTCTAACAAATATGACAAGTCACCATTTATAGGTTGTGGTTTTTAGAAGACTATTTGTGGATTTAGGGTTCAATGAAATATTGTGGACTTTCAAGTTAAATATAAAAACAAAGTGTTGAAGCTAAATATTAAAATGAGTTTTCAACTGGGCAGTGGTGATACATCTTTAAATCTAGCACGCAAGAGGCAGAGGCAGGTGGATCCCTTGTGTGTTCGAGGCCAACCTGGTCTACAGAGCACGTTCCAGTGTGAGGGACTATTGTTCATGAGATGGTAGCTTAACTGAATAAATATTCCTCTTTTTCATAAAACAGCATTATTTGCATTTCTAATACCCATGTGTTGTATAGTAAAGTTTGAGAACAGAGCGAGTCATCTAAAAATCTGTGAGGCTTTTAAATCTGATTGCACATTAGTTAATTGATTGTAAAACTAAGAGCATGCTGCTAGGGGTATACACTTATCAATTTATTTAAAAAACCAGCTGTGTGCTTAGATAGTCAGATATTCACAGAAATTTCATGAAGATGTCATTTATTTTAAAAACATTTTGCCATTGTATTTTCTAGGGTTATCAGAGTCAACTTGAACTATTATTCTTAAGTACCACTTCAAGAGTATGATGTGCAATATATATCTCTATATATGTGTATATCTATCTATCTATCTATCTAAAATGTGGATTAGGTATGAGTTCTCTGGTGCTTGGTAAGAGAAGGGCTGTGTGTGAAGGCTTTGCCACAATCCCTGAACTTGTATAGTTTCTCTCCTGTGGATTCTCTGGTGCTGAGTAAGACTAGGTGCTCTGATTGAAGGGCTTGGAACAATCAGGACACTCATAGGGCTTTTCCCCAGTGTGTGTCCTTTCATACTGGCTGAGTGATGAGCTGTGGCTGAAGGATTTCCCACATTCATTGTGCTCAAAGGCTTTTCCTCGGTGTGAATCCTTTGGTGTTCTATGAGAAGGGAACTCTGGCTGAAGGCACTACATTCACTACATTCATAGAGCTTCTTTCCTGTGTGGCTCCTCCGATGCTGAATGAGGGGAGCAAGCTGGCTTTTCATAGGGCTTTTCTTACTATGAATTTGCTGATGTTCTGTTAGAGTTGAGCTGTGGCAGAAGGCCTTGCCACAGTCACTGCATTCATAGGACTTTTCTCCTGTGTGGGTTCTCTGATGCTGAATCAATGGTGTGATGTGGGTGAAGGCTTTCCCCCACTCATAGCAGCCATAGGGCTTCTCTCCAGTGTGGATTTGATGGTGTTTGGTCAGGGATGAGCTATGGCTCAAGGCCTTGCCATATTCCCAAAGATAGGGCTTCTTGTCAGTGTGGTTTGTAGGTGCTGGGTGAGGTGATAATTTGCTGAAAGGCCTTCCCACACTCACTGCACTCAGAGGGTTTCTCAACTATGTGAGTCTGCTCATGCTGGTTGAAGGAGGATCTGAAGCTGAAGGATTTCCCACATTTACTACACTCATATGGATTCTCACCTTTGTGAGTTCTCTGGGGCTGGATCAGTAGGGCAATCTGGTTGAATGTCCTTCCACACAGAACACATACACGGTTTTCCATCGGTGTGGCTTGTTTAGTGTTTAGTTAGTGCCGAACCGTTTTGCAGCATCTTCACATTCATGACATGAGTAAGGTCTTCTATCTCCTGTGTGTATTTGGTGATGTTCGATGAGTGCTTAATGTCACTAAGGCCTTTAGACATTTCTGGCATTTCTAGAGTTTCTTTTTTGTATCATTTTTTGATTGATCATTTATTTTTTTTTTTTTTTTATTTTTCGAGACAGGGTTTCTCCATAGCTTTTGGTTCCTGTCCTGGAACTAGCTCTTGTAGACCAGGCTGGCCTCGAACTCACAGAGATCCGCCTGCCTCTGCCTCCCGAGTGCTGGGATTAAAGGCGTGCGCCACCACCGCCCGGCTTGATTGATCATTTGAGTCCAGCTTCTCCCTTTCTGTGTTCCCGCATGTGGCAGGTCTCGCTTTTTATAATTATTGGTTGAGCTGAGAGATCAGTACCTAGATTCAAGTCTTCCTCAGACCCATTCTCCTTCTAAGTGGGTATTTTCACAGGAATGACAATCACCTGCCCATTTACCTCATACCTATATTCTAGGGACCTACACTGTTGAAGTGCCCCCCCCCCCCCAGTTTTCCTATCAGAAATAATACTGTTGGACAATTTTCCAGGGATACTTTGTTTTGGATCTGAAAATCTGATTTCTAAATCTGAAAGAAACATGAAACAGAAATGTGCCTTAAAACCCTTTCCAAAAGAAGAGTTTTTTTGGGCATGTAGCTTGTGTGAGTTTTGTATGTAAGTTAAAAAATAATTTTTATGGGGGCTGTAGGGATGCCGTGGTAGCTAAAAATACTTGTTCTTGTGAGGACCTAGGTTTAATTTCTAGCATTCATGTCAGCCCACAACCATCTATAACTACAGTTCCAGGGAATCCAATGCCCTCTTCTGAACTCTGTAGGCACCAGGCATACATATGGGACATAGACATACATGCATGCAAGCAAAATATTCATATACATAAAATAAAAATTTAAATTTATATAGCTTTTATCCAGAATGGAGGCACAAGCTTGTGTTCCTAGTATGCAAGAAGTTGAAGCAGTAAGATCAAAAGTATTGAAAGTGTTTGGGTGGTGGCACACCCCTTTAATCCCAGTGTTCAGGAGACAGAGGCAGGCAAATCTGAATTTGGGTTAGCCTGGTCTACAGAGTTTCAGGATGACTAGGGCTATCCTGTCTCAAGAAACAAACAAACA